TGCCTTGCTAGGCTTGGGAAGTTCTCTTGGATAATATCCTGGAGCGTGTTTCCAGCTTGGATTCATTCTCCCCATCATATTCAGGTACATCGGTCAAGCATAGATTAGGTCTTTTCACATAATCCTGTATTTCTTGGAGGCTTTGTTCATTTCTTTTCACTCTTTTTTTCTCTTGTCTTGCCTTCTCTTTTTATTTCATTGAGTTGATCTTCAATCTTTGATATCCTTTCTTCTGCTTGATCAATTTGGCTATTAAAACTTGTGTTTACTTTATATAGTTCTTGTGCTGTGTTTTTCAACTCCATCAAGTCATTTTTGTTCTTCTCTAAGCTGATTATTCTAGTTAGCATTTCGTCTAACCTTTTTTCAAGGTTTCTGGTTTCTTTGCATTGAGTTAGAACGTGTTCCTTTAGTTCAGAAAAGTTTGTTATTATCCACCTTCTGAAGCCTGTTTCTGTCAATTCATCACACTCCGTGGTCAAGTTGTGATCCTGTGTTGTTGAGGAGTTGTGATTCCTTGAAGGAGAACAGGTGTTCTGGTCTTTGATGGTTTCATCTTTTTTGCACTGTTTTTTTCCATCCTTGTGGATTTACCTGGCTGTGGTGTCAGGGAGCTGCTTGATGAGGTTGCTTCTCTGCCAGTGGAGGCACTACTGGGTTTCTAGGGACTCCTTCAGGTTACTAGGGAAGCTTCCTGCGTCTTTTTTGTTTATATTGGGAGATAAGGCCCGCCTCTTCCACTGACCCGTAGTGTTGCTGTGTTGTCAAGAATGCCGTCCAGTTGCTATGTAGGCTTCCTGTGTTTTTTGTTAAAACATGTAGCCCAGTCCCACCCCTCTAGTGGTGGGTTGTGCCCTTCCTCCACTGGGCTGGATCATTCAGCGTTCATCTCAGACTGTGGCACTGGCTGCCCAACTCACTAGAGTCAGAGCTTCAGCCCTCTGGGGTTTGTGTGGGAGGATAGGGACCCGCCCAGCCACACCTGACTGTCTCCCCCTTTACAGCTTCCTCTCTCTCTGGTCATGGGTAGAGGCCCGCCCAGCTGCTCCTGCTTACAGCTCCCTCTCTCTTCAGGTGGGGGGAGGGGGCGGTAGCTCAGTCTGCAGGCTCTTATTCAGCTCTGCGCTTGTCCTGGCGCTTGACTAGCAAAGATCCCCTGTTCTTTGTATTGCTCAGGCTTTGGTGGAAGCGCTGTATCTGGACTGGAGCCCCAGAGCGGGCGCCACCGACTTGCCGGTCAGATGCACTTTCTGGGTGAAGCAGCACCCCTCTCCGCCTCAGTCTGCCCTGAGTGGGTTTTGCTCACCGTCAGACTAGACCCATTGAAATGCACCTGGTACCTTGGTTGGAGCTAGGAGATCTCTGGATTTCTGCGTCTCTCTCGCTGGGTGTTGTGCACTGGAGTTGTGTCTAATCGGCCATCTTGGATCATTTATCTTTTTTTTTGAAATGCAATTGCTTAAAATAGTTGTTTTGCTAAAATTATTCATTGAAAACTTATGTCATTAATAAAAACTTGTCAGCCGGCTGTGAATTCCATTTATTGAAACCCCTGATGTAGTACGCATTATGTTTTAAGAAATCTTTGGCAGTTTGATTTGCATTTTTTCACATATCGGTTAAAACTTTTTTTTTTTAATATATATGTTGGCCCTTTTTGGTTCTTTTGTCAATTTTCTTTGTTCATTTTTGTTTTGCAAAAACAACTCAAGTTTATTAATCTTTTTTTTTTTCCTTTCTTTTTTTGAGATGGAGTCTTACTCTGTCACCCAGGCTGGAGTTCAGTGGTGCCATCTCAGCTCATCGCAACCTCTGTCTCCCAGGTTCAAGCAATTCCCCTGCCTCAGCCTCTTGAGTAGCTGGGATTACAGGTGCATGCCACCATATCTGACTAATTTTTGTGTTTTTAGTGGCGAAGGTGTTTCACCATGTTGCCTAGGCTTGTGATCTCAAGTGATCCACTGGCCTTGGCCTCCCAAAGTGCTGGAATTACAGGTGTGTGCCACCATACCCAGCCTATTCATCTTTTATGTACAAATTACAAATAACCTTTACCAGTTTTTCTCTTTATTCTTACTTGTTTTGCACATTTTATTTTGTTTTTACCTTTTCAGCTTTATTAATCTTAGTATTATTTGTCCTCTTATGCTTACAGAAGCTTTCCTATTAGACAAATATCATCTCTTTTATTATTATGGAATGTCCCTCTGTGTTACTAGCAATATAAGTTGGCTTAAAGTCTTTTATATCTCATATTAATATAGCCATGTCAGCTCTTTTGTGGTTCCTTTTTTAAAAATTTTAAATTTCTTTTTTGTGTGACAGGTCTTACTCTGTTATCCAGGCTAGAGTGCAGTGGCCTGATCTCAGCTCACTGCAACCTCCGCCCAGCCAGGTTTAACTGATCCTCCCACCTCAGCTTCCCAAGTAGTTGGGACTACAGGTGCATGCCATCACACCTGGCTAATTTTTTGTAATTATTTTGGTAGAAATGAGGCTTTGCCTTGTTGCCCAGGTAGGTCTCAAACTTTGTAGCTCAAGTGATCTGCCCACCTTGACCTCCCAAAGTGTTGGCATTACAGGTGTGAGCCATCACGCCTAGTCTTATGGTGATTTTTTGTATGGTATATCGTCTTTCACCTTTTACTTTCAACTTATTTGTACCTTTGAATGTAAGTGTGTTTCTTGTAGACAATATTTAGTTGGATCATGATTTTTAAGTCCTGACAATGTTGGCTTCCAGGATTGCTTAGCCCATTCACATTTAATGTAATTATTGATATGGTTGGATTTTGTTCTTTGTTTTCTGTATTTTTCATGTCTTTCGTTTTTGTTGCTCTTTTACTGCCTTCTTTTGTGTTAAATATTTTGTAGTGGGAGGCCGAGGTGGGTAGATCACGAGGTCAAGAGATCGAGACCATCCTGGTCAACATGGTGAAACCCTGTCTCTACTAAAAATACAAAAGATTAGCTGGGTGTGGTGGCACACGCCTGTAGTCCCAGCTACTCGGGAGGCTGAGGCAGGAGAATTGCTTGAACCTAGGAGGCGGAGGTTGTGGTGAGCCGAGATCACGCCATTGCACTCCAGCCTGAGTAACAAGAGAGAAACTCCGTCTCAAAAAAAAAAAAAAAAAAAAAAAAATATTGTAGTATGCTATTTGAATTCTTTTGATTTTTAAATGATTAATATTTTTTATTTTTTAGAGGTTTCTCTATGGATTATAATATGTATCTTATCACAGGTCGCTGCTGATATAAATTTGGTGTAATATATAGTAGAGTTTTGCTTCAATTAGCTTCATTTCTTTCCTACTCTTTTGTGCTGTTATTGTTATATATTACACTTACATAATTGTAAGCACAACGATACAGTGTTATAATCATTGCTTTAAAAAATTTTATCTTTTAAAGAGGTTAAGAAAAGATAAAAAATATTTTTATTCATCTTTTATATTTAGCATGTATTTACTATTTCCCATGTTCTTCATTTCTTTCTGTGTATTCAAGTTACCATCTGCTGTCATTTCCTTTCAAGCGTCCTTTAGTATTTCTCGTAAGGCAGGTCTGCTAGCAAGGAATTTTCTGTCTTGTTTATGTGGCAAGGTATTATATTTCACTTTGATTTTTAAATAGTCATCAGCTAATGATTGGTTAGAGGTTACGCTCAAACAACCTTGAGTCAGTAAGGTTTTCACTCTTTGCCAATGAGTTTGTATGTGTGTTAGGGACTACATTAAAAGCAGTTTTATAGTCAGCTTAAACTTTCATCTACCTTCTTAGGTTTCCCACATGCTTGTCTACAGCCTCCTAGTCAGCCAGGGATGTGTGGACTGCTTAGACCCTTTCAGGTGTCCTGCAAGTATGCATAGCCTCTCAGCCAGCTAGCACTTGCAGAGAGTTTATCAAGCCCTTCTGTACGTCTTCTATTTCTATGACCTTCCTGTTAAATTTCTGGTTAGTCCTTTGGTTTTTTGTTTGCCCCATCACAAACTGTAACTTTTGACGAATAGAGCTGGAGACTTTTCTTATTTATTTATTTTTACTGAGTTTACTACTTTCACTAACAGCATTACTCAATGTGAGTTTTTTGCCTTCTGCTCCAAATTATGTCAGCCCCTCATGTTAGCAAAGCTGTTGGTTTTCATGACTAGCCATGGCCAATGGTGGGGCAGAAGAATTTGATGGAAGTAGCTCCAGGCAAGAAAGCTACAGAGCCCCACTGTTGAGCAGGTATTATGAATAAACACTTCTTGATTTGTTGTTTTCTTTTGTTCAGTTTCCAGAGCCCTGAAATAGTTTTGGATAGTTTACATTTGTTTTCTTTGGATAGAAGATTTGCCCAGCTTTTCTGCGTGCCATAGTTGGAAGTCTAGCCTTGAATACTTCATTTTATAGGATGATTTTTTTTTTTGACAATGATAATTCTTTATTTCTTTTTCTTTTCTTTTTTTTTAAGACTGAGTTTCACTTCATCACCCAGGATGGAGTGCAGTGGTGTAATCTTGGCTCACTGTAACCTCTGCCTCTTGGGTTCAAGTGATTCTTGTGCCTCAGCTTCCTGAGTAGCTGAGATTACAGGCTTGTACCACCATGCCTAGCTAATATTTGTATTTTTAGTAGAGATGGAGTTTCACTGTGTTGACCAGGCTAGTCTCAAACTCTTGGCCTCAAGTGATCCCCTGTCTTGGCCTCCCAAAGTGCTGCGATTGTAGGCATGATCCACCACACCTGGCCCCTTTTATTTCTTATGTCATTAATTTTATTGGTAGCTATTTTAAGTGTTATGCATTCTTTGGATAGAACCTTTTTTGATTATAATTTTCTAGTCTTTTAAAGTATGTGTTGATTTTTAATAATTTGAGATTCTTTTCACTGATGTTCCCATTAAAACTTAATGCTGGATTTGTCTTAATGCCACAGTGAAAACCAATTCAGGCTAGACATTTTGCCTAACCATAAAGAAGACTGAGTAAGCTAAAGGTGATCAATTTCTTTTGTAGGCATTATCCTGCACTGAAAACTCTGGAACATCTAGAGCATACCTACCTTCCTCAAGTAAGCCACTATCGATTCTGCAAGGTGATGGTGGACAACATCCCCAAGCTTCGAGAAGAAATAAAAGATGTTTCTATGTCTGATCTCAAAGACTTTCTGGAGAGCATCCGCAAACATTCAGACAAAATTGGAGAGACTGCCATGAAGCAAGTAGGTCTTGGGTTTATGATAGGTTGGCCAGTGGCTTTATCAGTATTCAGTTCAACACAGGTTTCTCTTTGCCAAGTATCTAGTTGTTTCTTATTATTTTATGAAAGTCCTTCATCTTTATGGGAACACATGATTAAAAATGTTTTCATTTTTTTAACAGAGCAATGGACAATTATATTGTTTTGCTCTTTAGATGTTCAGTAAATATTGATTAATTGTGATGGGGCTTACATTGAAGTTACGAAGAAATTTTTCTATTGTTTGTATAGTTCCCTTGACTTTACATAGAATTTGAAGCTCAAGATGTTTTAAAGTTCTCCTAGTTAATGACCTAAATTGTACTGCATGTGTCTTTGGCTGATTATTTACTACGTAAGCAAGACAGCATGCTGTATGTACATATTTCTGATATTAATAGGTGTCAGTGAAAAAAGGCCTATTGGGAAATGCTTTGAATTACGATCACACAAAAAGATTTATTAACAGCTTATAAATTAATAAATATGTTAGCAGTATTTACATTTGTTAAAAAAATTTTCAACCCTAGGTCACCAGTCATGAGGAATATCTAAATTTCTTTTTTTAAATTATGAATGAAAGATCTGTAATGTTTTACAGTGATACTTGCTCACTTGAAATTTGTCACATTGATTTTATTAAACATTTTTAGTATACCTGATGATGTAGCCTATAGCAACAAATAACAAGATTCAGTTGTTCATGGAAAGAACTTTTTGGTATATTCTTGAATAGATTATTTGTAGTTTTTATCATTCTGTGAGGAATGAGGGAATAGATTATATTTCAAATTGTATTTTAGGTCTCAATAACCTTGATAATCTATTCAGATGTCTATTTGATCTATAATATCTATTTGATTCTCCAAAAGAGATTTGCCAGTTACCTTTCCTAAGGGAAGGCAGATATTTCCCCTTTCTTCTTTTAAATTTTGTCAGTGTTATACCTTATAAAGTGCAGAGTTTAAAACTAGATGGTAAACCTGATAGAAATAATTATATGATTTCATTTTTTATAGTGGTGAACAAGCAAAATTAATCAGTGACAATATACATTACTGGGTACATACTTTGAATACAGGAATGAAGGTATCTTCCAAGATAATTCTTGCTGTGGTTGGCTAAGTTTTTGCTAAGCTTTTAACATATAGGAGAGCATAGTACAAAGCCTTTATGGCAGCTGCATTCTTAAAAATTGCTTTTTCTAGGCCTCTGCTTGAGAAATTAATTTACTTCCTTTTTGATGAAAGAGGAAGCCATGAAGAATATTATTTTATTTAACCTGCGGCTAGCTGGTCTCATCCCTAATTATCTGAAGGAATTAAGACCCATGGGAGGGAAGTAACTTGCTCAAGTTCAAACAACCTATAAAGGTCAGATCTGTATTAGAATGCAGATTGGGTTGAAATGAATTTGTCTACTCTGGTACTTAATCTGTGTAAACTATTAGCTGTTTGCTATATTTTTGTCTTATAAAGAAATGATGAAGAAATCTTTTGTGAATCCAGGACTTTTAATTAACTGATAAATTCTCATATCTCCTATAAAATTTTTCATCTCAGGATCTTTGAGAAAAGATATGTTAACAGTTAAAAAATCTTTTGTAATATCTAGAACATAAGGAAGATAAGAGAGAGAAACTATCATGTACTTTATACATAGTAGGTGTTCAGCAGATGTTTGAATTCCCAGATAAGGGAGAGGAAGTAGTTTATTTCTTACTGCTTGGAGCCCAAAATAGTGTTTCTGGTTTGTGATGATTTTCTTTGCAATGGTGATTTAGGGACTTAGCATCCTTCCATTGTGTGGCTCTTCCATCTTTAAGATGGCTTTGAAGATTGTTTCAGAAGGGGAAAGACCAAAAAGTGTTGCATGTGGGAAGGTCTTTAAGGGCAAGGCATGGATGTCACACATTACTTCTACCCATATTCTGTTGGTCTGAACTTAATTATATAGCCATACCTACCTGCAAGAGAGGCTGGAAAACGTAATCTCACTCATTCTCTAACAGAAGGAGGATATAGGTTTGATGAATAATAGCTAGTATCTGGCACAATCTACCTTCTGGTCATCAAATGTATCTTCATTCTTTCTCTCATACATAGAACACATTCATGCCTTCCCTAGGGGGCAACAGTCCAATGGCCCATGTAGTCACTGCATCCATCTCAAAGGCTAATATCTTCCAGGAATGCTCAACCCTCTCCATCAGATTCAGCATGGCTCTTAGTGAGCTGGTAACTACTCAACTAAAGTTGCAAGTTAACTGCACTGGTATCTCCTTCCACTCCCAATATTCAGTGAAGAAACTAGAATAAAATAACTATAACAAAAACTTTCATTTAGAAAAGGGAACAATTGGAGACAAACAATATTCTCTGCTTCATAACAAATCATATAATCCACTTAGGCAGGCACTGGGAAGTTCCTCTACTCTGGTAGTAGGGGAATTTCCTTGCTTAGACCTGATTCCCTGGAAGGAATGCATTTGCCCATTGTTCTTTTGAGCTTTAGCTGCACCCTGGCTTTTCCTTGTTTATTTATTTTTTAATGTACACTTCTGAAGTAGATGCTGGGAAATATACATTCCTTAGAAGGCGTACTTCTCTTTCTCTCTCTTTATGTGTATATATCTGTATCTGCAATCGTGTCTACATTTACATTTATATATGTCTTTTACTGCCGACTTTTTGCTTCTACAAGTTTAGGGGCCTGAGGGTTGATTTAAGGTTCTGAACAAAGGTTTATTAATATTTAGTTCAGATGTGGTTTATTTTATTTTTGACATTATCATTTCCTCAAAAGGTAGTAGGCTTCTCATTTTTTTCTTTCCAATAGGTTCTATGTGGATACCATATCCACTATTCTTCCCTAAATAATAGTTTTCAAGAATGATTTTGTTTTTCATATCCTCTCTTTGGGGAAGTAGTGGAGGTTGGGGAGCATAGCCCTTGCTTCATGTTTCTTTCTCAGTTTGATGGCTTTATATTGAGTTGACATGAAACAATGGGTGGTAAGATCATGCTTGAATCTGATCTCTGCCTCAGAGTTGAGTCACTTCGTTGAACTGGAAGTTTTCCTGGGACTTTATTGCTCAAGAATTTACTATTTTTTTTCTCATACTGTTTAAGATCATACATGTGTATTCACCTTTCTAACCCTGTGAGGCTTAAATTTCTGGGACTAATTCTATTCCCTGTAATATCAGTCTGCAAATGAGCTAATACTTTTCTGAGCTTATCTTTTGTATGCAATACCTTGCCAAAAGCAGAAAGTAAATACCGATGTACACTGTAACTCTCACTCTTCATTCACTTATGGTGCTACAGGCCTGGTAGGCATGTGGTATGCCCATTCACTTATTACAGATTCCAATTTTACCAGTTGTTTTGCCAGAGTATTATAGGGCTTCCCAGCCTTTTAACTTGTTAAATATATGTTCTTACTGCCCACTGCCTGACCATTAAACCAATGCTTTTTATTTTAGATTTTTTTTGTTGGGGTAACACCATATTTCCAACACCCAGTTTCTTTATTCATTAAATAATGTTCCCTGCTATAATAGACAAACTCTAAAATCTCATTATAGAAATTTTATGTTTTGCTTATGTAAAGACCAAAATCCATGTCATGGGTAGGTGACTCTCCTCCAAATGATCTTCAAGAGATCTAGGACTCTTCCAACTTGTGGCTTTCAAGTGTACCACAGAAGGGGAAAGAGAGTAAGTAATGCCTGGAGGTTTTCAGGGATCAGTCATAATTATAAGTGGCACATCTCACTTCTGCCAATGGCCAGAGCTCCATCACTGCAGAGGAGACTTGGAAATATACTCTAGTTGTATGATCAGGAGGAAGAAGAAAGAGGTTTGATGAATAGCTAAGCTAGTCTCTACCATAATCTGTTATCACGTAGCCTAGAAAGATAAATATCTTCCACATATCTTGCTTTTTCCTCATAATTTTGTCTTTTCATCATTTTTCTCTATGTGTCTGCCTTCTAATTTACTAATTCAGTTTTTAGCATTGTCAGTGCTGCTATGTAGAACTTTATTATTATTTTTTAGTTCAACAATCACAGTTTTAGCTTTAAAGAATTTATTCTTGTTCTTATATTCCTCCTGTATCATGGTAACTTATTTTTTCGAACATTTCTAAGTATGCTTCTTTAGAATCATACTGAGAAAACAGATTTGAAAGTCTTACTTAATATCGATAGTTGGTAAGTCTTACATAATATTGATAGTTTGCAGAAGAGCCCAGAAATTCTGTAGGTGACTGCTTTTTCTTGGTGAACATCCCTCTTTTTTTTTTTTTTTTTTGAGACGGAGTTTCGCTCTTGTTACCCAGGCCTGAGTGCAATGGCGCGATCTCGGCTCACTGCAACCTCCGCCCCCTGGGTTCAGGCAATTCTCCTGTCTCAGCCTCCTGAGTAACTGGGATTACAGGCACACACCACCGTGCCCAGCTAATTTTTTGTAATTTTTAGTAGAGACGGGGTTTCACCATGTTGACCAGGATGGTCTCGATCTGCCGACCTCGTGATCCACCCGCCTCGGCCTCCCAAAGTGCTGGGATTACAGGCTTGAGCCACCGCGCCCGCCCGAACATCCCTCTTTTTATTCTTCTACCCAGTGTGTCCTGAGTTGCTGCAGTGATCCATGAGTGGATTTTGTCCTTGATACTGTGGAGCCAGGTTGGTACACTGGCTTCTTTTTGGGATATACTAGCCAAAACATCACTAAAGGGTTTTTCCCTAATTAAACTCGAATGAGTAAGTTAAGGTCCAATCATTTATTTGAGATTATATTCTCAAACTCTTTGTTGTTCAATTTTATGAAAAGATAAAACACAAAAAGTACTATTTGAGGATACTCTGAAGCATATATGGCACATTCATTCTTCCATATGCAAACTTTTATGTAGAACTTTATCATTAGGAAGCTCTTTTTCTTTAATTGCATGTAGCCTGAAGGTCTAAAATGT